GCTTCCAATGCTCTCGCTCAGCGTTCTCGCACTCGATTTTCGTACTTCAGCCACTTCTGATATCGAAATTCGTATCGGTGCTCGAAGTAATCCCACTTCTGATATTGTAAGGATGGGCCGAAAAATCAGAAGAGTATTCGGTAAACTGTGTGACCACTTTTACTTTCGTTCTTACAATGTCCGCGTACCCTTTTTCTTGTGGCGCCGCTACCGTTCGTCTCGCGGAACATCTTGGTAACTACGGATCACTCCTTACCGATAGTGCCCCATGGCGTGACAACGTCTCGTACTACAAAGGTAAATATTCAATAAAGTGTTTTCAAAGGTAAATATTCAATAAAGTGTTGATAAGAAATATATCGCCTTCTTTTGTTTTTAATATTATGTATTTCTACAACTTTTGTATCATTTTTTAGCATACAATAACTGTTTGCCTTGTTATATTGATTAATAGAAAATTGTACATTTGTAAAAGTAATCTTCCTATATTGTTTATACGACTCACAGGTATTATGATTTAATAACGGACCATTTTTATGTTCCATATCTAAAAAATATGTATTTCTATTAAAATTTTTTTAATTATGTTTATTTAACAAAACAGAATCTATTTCATGCAGTCGACGATGTATTTGTTGTAATAAATTAGTAGGAGATCTTATTAATTTTTTTAAATGATCGAGATAACATTCAAATGGAAAAGATGAAAATTCATCTAAAGGACCATAAATTTCTACATCGTCACATATATGTATTAAAAGATGAATATTGTAAACAGCAAATTCTGGACCGTACAATTCATTTTTACAATGATTAATAAAAGTCAGCAAACATTTTCGTGTAAATGGAATTCCAAAATTATTTATATATTTGTTTGATATTAATATAGAAATTGCCACATGTAATAATAGAAAATTCTCCTAAAAAGCTTTGGGTAAGATATTTTTCAAAACTAATATACCAACATACTAGTAAATAAGAAAAGTCCTAAACTCTGTTGCCTTCCAATACGAAAATTCATTTAACGATCTAGGCTTTGTACTAAATTCTAATGGAATAAATTGTTGTAAATTTATAAGACGTTGTGAAACAATTTATACTTGATTATTAGTAAAAGTTTAAATCTTAATGAACCTGCAATCCATAAACGTAATAAAAGTTTCATTACTCCTAGGCAAATATTATGCATGTAATCCGTAGGAAAGGATTCAATTAAATCTATGGGCAAATTTAAAAGTGGAGATAGTCCATGATGATGGTTATCATCTAATTGTTTTCTAAAAAATTCATCTGTGCGCTTTTGAGCGGTATCTTATTCATAAAAACAACTTAATTTTTGTAATATTTTCCAGGTTCTGTACATTTATCGCATGACGAGTAACCCGAATGTAACTTTGTACATTTTAAAAAAGCATGAGCAGGTGCATTACATACAAAACTATAGACTTCTATTTTAAAAATATTTCCATCGAAATTAAATCCATTTTTTAATAATACATTTAATTCGTCTATAAAATTTTCCAAGAAAATATTTAAAGGTTCTGGCTTCGACGTTCCACAAAAAACTGATACAACGAACGGAACACTAGGAAAGTTTTTAATAAGTCCTAAAACAGGCCATAGTTGTAACTTGTTACTTTTAAACAAGGGAATGCCATCTATATTAAAACAAATTTTTAATGCTTCATCAGATTTCAAATATTCTTGAAAGCTTCTTTGTAATGTCTAATAAAATTTTCAAAGCACTGGTTAAGCCCAAATAACATAATTCTCCAGTTTCCAATTGGCAAATTGCTGTAGTAGTAACAGTTTGCAATAATGTACGAGAACGTAAAAGTAATTCAGGATGATAAGGTGAAAGTATGTGCAACAAATCTGTTAAAGCTAAATGCGATATATGTCTTTCGATGGCCTACTTAGCTAACTCATTTTCAGGACTATTTTGCTTATCAAACAATGAGTTTTTACTACTCCTTACATCACTATTTACATCAGTACATGAGAAACTGTTAGAAGATTCGTTACAATTAGATACAGCATCAATAAAATTATTATCATACGATATTGTAAGGCTGAACAGGTAACCTTTTCAAAATTATGTTCATTAGTACCTGTTTTATTATTGACTGTAACATTAGTATTAGACGATATAACGTTTGACGTATCAGTTAAATTATTAATATTAAGTGTTCTATTGTAATCAACAAATTGACTGTTTATACTGTCTACAGTTTTCAACACTCTTCGATATTGTTGACACTGTCCAACAAATTCTTTACATTTACGTTGATTTTTTAACACATTTTTAAAGAAAATAAGAAAACCTAATATTTTCAAAATATTAAAATAAATACCGATAAAGGTATGAGACTGAGTCTTGATATTTGTAGGAACAGTTGAATGACGACTTCCAATGTAGATAATTGTACATCTAAAAATTCTTCATATATTTTCAATTTTCTGTTTGTTTTATCTAAATCATCTGTAATTAAAAAGGATAATATTGTTAAAAACAAATTAAAGAAACAATGTAATTTTATTAGTGGCATCTATTTCACCACGTTGCGATTCACCACTAGCCACTCACAGCGCTTGAACAGTGAAAAACCTCTAGGCACTGACCGCTGGAAGTGGTTGTGGTTAATCTTAATGTGATCAAACGGAACGCACTCAATTTTATGCATAAAAATTCACGAATTATGAATAGTAATAAGAAGTAAATTAGAATTGTAACAATTTAAAGCAGAGCTGTCAGCTAGTGGCTCGCGAGCCAGCCGCCCCACCCAGCGCTTCCCCCTCCAACTCGACCCGCCGGCCGACTTCAGGGACGACTGTCAGTCGTCGCGCGCGATGTAGGCATTAAGGTAAATGTCCCAGTGGCCGGACATTTAAGCGTAGATCGTCACAAATAATTCAATTTATAATACTAGAAAGGTTTTTAATATAAATATTTATATTTATTCGAAAACATGAAAGATTTCCTTAAGCGGAAAAAATTATTTGAACCCATTTTAACAATTATTAATGAAATAATTAAATGAATATTAAAGTGCGACATTGTACCAGTGGCCGGACAGCCAAAATAGGTTATGGCCCAATTTCCGGACGTAACTTGTCCCAATGTCCGACCAGTTCGACCACAAAATGAAAATTAATATGCTAATGGGAAATATTTATTAATATATAAATAAATATTTATTGAATGACAAAAAATATAACTCTAATTTTAAAAAATATATTTACTAAATAGTATATACTTGATAATACTTTATTTTTATCAAAAATTATAAGAATATAATTTGTTGCACAACAAAATACAATAGCTTGTATAACATAAAATGTTGATAACTTAAAGTGCATTTAACGTACAAGCTAAATAAATTTTTAACGACAGTGAACCTGCACATAACAGAATGAATAATAAAGTAAAATAAAATAATTAGTTAAATAAGATTTTAATTTTTCTTTAGCACTTTTTTTATAACTTTCTTTTTAGTTTGTGAATTTTTCTTAACTTATTTTAACATATGTAAATAAAAAAAATTATCGATGAATAGTTTAAAAAAATCTTACATGCAATTAAGTCTTTAAAAATATACAGTTATTTACTTACCAAACAATCCCGTAATATTTATAAAACAAGACTACGTCTCTAACCTCACAAGCTGGGTTTGCATATACGAGTCCGGTGATTGGGACCATTAGTACTTTAAATGTACCAGTCTCCGGACACTTAAAAATATCGTTTTTATTGTGATTTGTATGATGAATTTCGTCAAAATGAGTTTTTAATTAATCTTTAAAATTAAATATTCAATTATTTATTCGCAAATATAATTAAATATTCAGTTTTTATTCTATAAGTTGAATGCTAACGCTTAACGAATTTCTTAACGATTACCTACCATTTTATCAAATCATAGACGCATGCTTACATAATAATTTTTTTTTAATATAAAAATTATTAATTTGATGTACTTCTTTTTTCCTAATTAATCGTCAAATATAGGAATATTTTTTACAATGATTGATATTTTTATTCATAACTGTTCAAATAAACAGCAAATATTTTATTTCAATGTGGTCGGACATTGGGACGTGTCCGGTCATTGGGACATTTACCTTACTCCCTAATTGTTTAAACGCAGTTGCCGCTAGAGGTCTAACGGAGTCTGACCATGACTCGCAATTTAAATGTGACACACAAGATATAAAGATGTGTTTTATCAGTCCGCTCGCTCTCTGTGATTTATTCAGATTTATTCTATTTAATATTGCGCCATTGCTCTGATTATAATTCTGTTTGCTTTTCTGGCTATTATTCTGATTTTTGTCTGGCATTTTTCTTTGAGTATTCTTAGAGTTTTCTCTGGATTTTTACTGTGGCTATTTCTCTGTAACGGTTCTTGAGAATGTCGAAAAGGAAGAGCTCCGAAAACTGGGCTTTCAATAACGAGTGGGAAATTAAGTATTTTTTTGTACAGAATTCCAACAAGAAACCCCAATGTTTAATATGTAAAAATTGTTTAAGTCAAAATAAAAGTAGTAATCTTGCTCGACATTTCTCTTCGCTCCATGAAGCAACACACGGACATTGCTCTGATGACGAACGACGCGCTTTAGTGGATGAATTAAAAAAAGAAATAATGCAAGACTTGTCTGTATCAATCTCCTCAAGTCTTCAGGAAAAGAGTTTAATTGCATCATATGTGGTATCCTTAAAATTAGCGAAAGCCCAGAAATGCTTTAGCGATGGCACACTCGTTAAAGAATGTGCAATAGAAATGGCAAAAGCATTTGGTTACGATGATGCCGCTGAATTTTAAAACAGCTGCTTTATCGCGTAACACTGTAAGAAATCGAATTGTTGATATGGGCCGCAGCATAAAAAAGAAACTAAATAATTTAGTTGCACAATGTCGATACTATTCTTTGTGTATGGATGAGAGTACTGACCGAACACAGATATCAGTCAACTACTAATTTTCATTCGCGTAGTAATGGACGATTTTTCGGTACAGGAAGAGTTACTCGCTTTAGTTCCGTTGCTCGGAACAACAGGTTTAGATATTTTTAATGCCGTTAAAAAGTGCATTGTCGAAATCGGTGGTTTCCACAAATGCTCTGCAATTTGCACCGATGGAGCACCGGCTATGGTCGGTAGAGAAAATGGCTTCGTTGGTCAGTTAAGAAAAAACGGAGTAAATTATTTAACTTTTTATTGCATTATTCATCAAGAGGCATTATGTGGAAATACTATCAGAATGTTCTCTGTAATGAAAGATGTTACGAAAATTACGAACATAATACGCGGAGGAAATCGATCATTATCTCACCGAAAATTGAAAGCATTTTTGGAAGAAGTTGACGTGGAATACCGAGATGTACTGCTTCATTCTGAAGTTCGTTGGCTTAGTGCAGGTAAATGTTTAGTTCGTTTTTTTGCACTTCGAAAAGAACTTGGCGAGTTTCTGAATAAAGAGATAAAATCTGATACCACGGAATTTGAAAAGAAACTAAAAGATCCATTTTTTTTATCAGAATTAGCATTTCTAACGGACTTTACAAATCATTTGAACAATTTAAATTTACATTTGCAGGGAAAGGAACGCACTATTTCTGATATGTTGACGAATATTAATGGATTCCGATCTAAACTTACGTTGTTCAAACTGCAACTAGCCAAAGAAAATGTTTATCATTTTCCGAGTTGCTCCGAATTAAAACAGGAATACAAGGAAGTAAACTTTTCAGGATTTGCTTCCATTATTGATGAAGTCTCAAGTGAGTTTGAACGTCGTTTTAAAGATTTTAAATCTCTAGAACCGGATGTCATTTTTTTCAATAATCCTATGAAAATTAATCTTGAACGTGTTAGAAGTGATCTTCAAGAAGAAATGTGCAATTTACAAAATGATCCGTTCATGCTATCGAGAACAGAAACAAATGCTGCAATTTTTGAAGTCATGCCACAAGATCGGTATCCAAAACTCATTGACTTCGCTCTTAAAATAAAATCTTTTTTCGGATCAACATATATTTGTGAAAGCACATTTTCTTCAATGAAGTACATAAAATCTGCTCAACGTAATACGTTGACTAATGAAGCGTTGGAACATCTACTTCGTTTTGCTACAACACAAATTGAAGTCGATATTGTAAAACTTGTTAGCAATACTAAACGTATCCGTCTATCACATTAATGTAGGTGTAAGACGCAAAAGATGAAAATTCTTTTTACAAACCTTGACGTGAAATACTTTTTATAAATTGTCTGTTTAAAAATAACAATTTCTTCAAGTTATTTACAATAGAAGTAACTAAATTTTACTAAATAGCTCTTCTCTTTTAAGTAAATAGTTTCTCTTTTAAATCATTTTTATTTTCAATACAGATCCTTGGCGACGTCGTGTACCAAAGAATAAAAAAATCGAAGTTCTCAATGGTTTACTATAGGGAGTAGGGCCTACATCGCGCGCGACGACTGACAATCGTCCCTGAAGTCGGCCGGCGGGTCGAGTTGGAGGGGGAAGCGCTCGGTGGGGCGGCTGGCTCCCGAGCAACTAGCTGACAGCTCTGATATAAGACATATAACGTATAGGGTATTTTTAAATTCGCGTCTGCGAAGTATAAGACGTTATACGCTAAAAGAAACAATTTTTTCCTTTTGCAAAATTGCGTCCGATAAGTAGTTTTTGCAGGAGAGCAGGTTGAAGTTGTACAAGTAAACGCAAAAATTATTTATCGAATGTAATTTTACTAAAAGAAAAAGTTGTTTGTTTTAGCATAAAGTATCACGTCTTGTACTTCGCGGGCGCGAATTTGAAAACACCCCGTACAGTATTTCGGAATGTAGCCTTAGAATATGAATGTCATCGCAAAACTTGATAAAAATATACTCATTCGATACATTTTTTCATTCAAAATGAGAGAATGTAGTAGAATAAAGTAGAAAAATGCGACAGTCTGCTTTACGAAGCGATTATTTAGGTTAGGAAAACAAGTTTTCTTTATCTGAATATTTATTAGAACTACGTAATGTAAACGTCACCCGAATGTCCTCGTATATTATTTTATTATCCAATATTAAACACAAAGATAAAATGATACGTGGGAGCATTCGGGTAATATTTCCGAACGTAGCCCAACTCTAACATTTAATAATTCGTTTCGTGAAGCATACCATCACATTTTCTGCCAGATTCTTTCATTTTGAGTGAAAACGTGTAGAATAAATATTTTTATCAAGTTTCGTAGTGATGCCCGTATTCTAAATAATGATCACATTAAATAAATAAATACAAATTTCTTATCAATAAACAAAATGTTGCGTGCGATTTTATCTCATTTAACTCTCTGATTACTTTTATTTTTATTTTTATTTCTAATTTTATTTATAATATATTACCGACTTTTCTTTACAATCACTCAATTCTTTATACCAATTTAATTATTGTATTATTAAGGGGATGCTGGAGTGGCCAAATCGTCGGTATTTTGCAGATCAATTTACATCTCTGAATTTACTTAACGAAATCAAAAATCCTTTTACAGGGTTAAAATAGATGCAAAATTCTGTCGT